GTGCTTGAAACAAAGTAAGTCAATTTAAAAACATTAGCTAGGTGTGCCTTGTATCCCAGACACTGCAGCCTATGATTACAATGCATTCTGGTGTCTACTTCACACTGTGGACCACGCTGAATTTATTGTCTGTGTAAATACATTTTTCAAAAAGTGAGCCACTGATAAGCTATCTCTCCCACACCGCTACATCTTTTTTTCTTTTCAGCAGGAGTTATGCTTGACCTTTACTGTGGTTCAGCTCACCTGGCTAGGTTTAGTTTACCTTCTCGAGCACTGGGGTTGTTTTGAATCTTGCTAGTTCATCTTGGTTTCACATCATCTGGAAATTAGACGCTATGGCCCTGGGAGTCTTATCTTGATGCAGAAAAGAGCAGGCAAAAGGTAGATCCTTGGGATCCTCCACTAGAAAGCTCCCTTCTGACTTTAACGCACTGTTCTACCCTATCCCCGCAACCAGGGATAGAAAAGGTCACGCACCTGAGCACGACTGCATGCCAACATTTCTAAGTGCAAACACTACATTTCTGTAAACTCCAGGAGACTTCCTGGCTCAGCCTCCCAGTGGGCTAAGAGAAAAGGCAAGGTGCCAAAAGCAGAACTTTAGAGGAAACTGGGGCCACAGGTGTTCTTCCCCACTGGCCCACTAAGAGACAAAACTCCACATGGGGGCATGTCGTGTCCATTCCAGGTAGGGGAAGCATGGCCTAGTGCTAGGGCAGTGGGGACCTCAGATCCACCGAGCAGTAAGTGTAGGGTGGGAGAGGAGCTGGACCGTATGAGAAGTCTCACACTGTCTCTCAATTTTCAGATGAACAAGACCCGTGCTGTAGAAGATCAGACGAGCAAAAGGGGATTCACAGCCGCAGAACAGAGGCAGAAAAGTCCCTCGCTCTTAGCCGCAGCTTCTTGGAGCAGGGGAGGGAACAAGGGCTTTGGGGGCTCTCCTGCAAGTATTGTCTGACTGCAGCATGGACGGCTGAGTCTGCCTCACGGTGCTGCGGAGAGCCTGATGCTTCAGCTTTGTGCCGGGAACAGCAGTACTTTTTAAACTCTGAGGATGTACTGGGACCTTCAAGGCTCTCTCAGATGCCCCAGGGTAGACTTTAGAAGAGTGATCCTCCAGCCTCACATGCGTTACGGTTTTCCAGAGCGTTTACTACAACACAGATTTCTGCCCCCTCGCACCTCTGTCACTACCTCTAGGTTTCTGACCCAGTAGGTCTGGACAGAGCCATAGAATCTGCTTTGCGGAATGTCCCCAGGTGCCATTGCTGGTTTGGGGACACTGTTTGGAGGGCCATAAACTTAGAGGAATGGGTATCAAGGAGGGGTTCGAAAACATCCACGGGGAGGAAATGCAGAGAGAGGGCCTGGAGGTGCTCGCCCTGTAGACAGCAAGTAGCTTGACGTGAAAGGCAAGACCTGTTTTGAGTCATGAACTGGTCTCTTCGTCTGCCTGTGCGTGTGTCTGTGATCATCTGGCAATATGATTTTCTTCCTGTGAGTCCTTTCTCCAGGATGTAGGCACAGCTAAGGGACTATGTAAAAGATACACTAAAAAGACCGGAGGTGGAGGACTCTGCAGAAAAGGTGGAAGCAGCCACTCAACTTTCACAGTGGAGGATTGTGGTTAATCTTGGTTCCTCTGTATGCTATTTTTCAAAGGAAGTGAGAGATGTTAAAGACAGTGAGAAGTGTATCAGATTAAATGTAGTCGATGGAAGAAGATCAAACACATTTCTGAACTTGGAGGAAGGCTACCGTCAAAGAGGCAGCTACCTGGCCGGAGTAGGGACATCACCCGCTCATCGGCAAGAGGAGCTTTGGGAAGGTCTGTGCCGGCCATTGATGAAACCCATGGCATAAAAAGGCGTGGATAGTTCCTGACGTGCCCATGGGGTGGAGGCAGTTATGTAACATTTCATTATCTTTTTATATCGGCAAAGGGGAGAAGCCTGAGAGAGAAGACACCACAGACGTGTAATTGGTTTTGATTTTAGAAATGTAAGTCTTGTTTAATACCCAACTCCTATCCTCAGGAAAATTCAGACTTGCCATAGGAATTCACCTCTAACCTCATATAGAAAGCTTTAACTTAAATGAAGTAATTGTGGAAAATGCAAATGAGTGAAAGAAAAATGAAAGGAATCTATCCTGGCTGGACTTTCAGGCTTCCTTTGAACAATTCCTGGGACATGTGTTGTAAAGAGCTAATTAATGCACACATTTGACCTCCCCACCTTTTCCAGGAGGACTGCAAGCAAATAAGGATAACGTGTTGGGGGGGGGGGGTCTGTGGGCTCCTTTTGAAAAAGACCGTGACATGCTTGCTTACACAGCAAAATAGAGCCTGACATCTTGGCAGTAATCATGTATGGAGTAATAGTTCACAAGGTGTACATGCTGTTTTCAATAGACTCTCATCAAAATGGAAGCAGCAGATAAAAGGGTCTCAAAACCCTGGGACACCTGGAAGGACATAGCAGCCCCGATTTTAAGAAAATACCTTTTCCTATATCATAAATGAATGAGCTGGACCACTCAAAGCTGGTTAGCCTGATGACTGCAATCAGTGCATTTAAAATAGCCTCTAAATGCAGCTAACCACACTCACTTACAGCCGTAATCCATTTTAGGTGAAATCTAGAATACCAGCGAGGGTCAGGAATATAGCCCAGTGGCACAAGTGCCTTCCTGGTAGGCACAAGGTCCTGAGTTCGATTCCTGGTCCCCCTCCCCCCCACACACAAAAATACCATTGATTAATAAATAAGGCATACTGTATTGTTATTTTATGTACAAATAAATAGGAAAGAAAATGCTAATCAGAAATTCTCACTTTAGAGATGCTAAAATGAGAAAAACGAAAGACCCTGTGGGTTCTGGCAAGGATGGGAGATCCTGGGGTACAGGGCAGACACTGAGGACAAGGTGCTTTGACTCAGCCCTGGGCTGTATGGCAGCCTGGCTCCTTAGTACTGAGAGACTGTAGGCAAATCGCCTCCCCTTACTGCACCTTCAAGTGTTTTTTGAAAACTGTATTGATCTGATTATTAACACTGACTCTTTCTCACTATATTAACGGGAGAATTAAATATGATCCGCTGTTATAGAATTTACTATGTGCTTAGTACTTATTAGCTACCTTATTGTTGCTGTTACTATAATTTCTGGTGAAGGTGCAATTAAGAATCTAACGAATCTTTTGGTTCTCTGCAATCTGAATGTGTTCACCTAGTCTCACTTGCCAAACCTTCAGCCGTTGTCTGAAATAAATGGCAATGGCTCTGCTTCCTCAGTGCCTTAGTTCTCTCGAAATAAAATGAAATCATTTGTTCAGATGGAGTCACAGCATCTTCTTTCTCAACTCAAGAACACACCGGGCCCTGTGGAGCTGATGACTCAAACACAATGCGTGATAGTTTGCATACTGCTTTGCCTGACATTTGCACGCTACCGGTTCATTTTTTGCTGGAAGTGAAAATCAGCTCACCATCTGCTTCTCTGCTAGTTCCTAAGATCTCTAGGTGTTGAGTTCGCTGCTTCTGCCTCAGAAGAACAAAGCAACCTGCAAGCATCATGCAGCTGCTACATGTACCCCTCCCGAATGTGTCCACGGCTGGTCAGTTCAGCTGAGCAGAGAAAGGAAGTCTGTCCTTGGCTGTAGACCAGGCCACGGCATCAGTCACCCACATCCCTGAGGACCATGCTCCCCTGAGGACGGCCAGTGACTCAAACTTGGGGAGCCACAAACAGCATCAGTAGTATTTCCTGAAGACAGCTCTTGACTACACATGTGGCTGGTGGTAAATCAGATGATACGCAGCTAAGTGGCTTGGAGAATATTCTCGACTACCAGTGGCTTTTGCACTGAACCAGCACAAAGCCTCTCTTTCCCTGAACATCAATAATTATATGGTAGGAATCATAAAACAAAGATTTATTTTCACTCTCAAAACTGTCAAGATGTAAAGTAAATGCATGACAGCTAAAATTTAGCCATAAAAGAGAAAAATTAGCACTTAATTAATCAAAGCCCTATTGCTAGAATCTTCTGTCAGCTCTCAACATTTGTGTAAACTGAGCTCTTGGATTCCTGACTGCTTGTTCACAAGTGATAACAGAACTACATTTCCAAAGACATGAAGAAATTCACTTAGTTCTTCTGCCTTGGGAATGGCAAATTGTTTTATAAACTCAAATGCAGTGGTACCTCAGTTCATGAACTTAATTCATTCCTCGATTCTGGAAAAGAAGGCCAAGATCATGTTCACGTGGAAAAGATGGCCAAGGTCGTGCCTGTCAGCCGATGCAGTGTTCACAAATGCAAACAAAATTTCGCCAAATGCTTCAGTTTGCAAACCAAGTTGTTCATAAACAAAAGCATTCACGAACCAAGATACTACTGTATCTACATGATTAGTACATAACATTGGCAATGGTTCTAGAAGACAATATCAACTATGTATTGTTTATAAAACAGTTGCAAATAACCTGAAGACTTAAGTGTTCCATAAATGATCCTTTGGACAGCAAACATAAATACCAACTCATATTATCCTTACTTTTAATACAAACTGTAATTCTTATATGAATAGCAAGCCCATCCAAATGGCTCGAAAGACCTAAATTTGTATCTGGATACTAGGGCTTGATTACTGCAAATATATTTAAACGTACTGGATTTTAGAGGTACCGTTTAATCAGAGGATGATTTTTATTTTGTGCTTTACAGCTTTATTAAAGGAAAAGTGTTTGTTAGACTTGAAAAACTATCAGAAGGCAAGTGTGGTGGTACACACCCATAATCCCAATACTGGGAAAGCTGAAGGGCAGGAAAATGGAAAGATCCATTCCTACTTGGGTAAATTTGTGGGGACCCTGTCTCAAAAATCAATCTACCTACCTAGCAGTAAATTACTAGAAATCAATGAAGTTAATGTAGGAATTGCTCAGTGGTAGAGCACTTGCCTAGCACGGGTGAGGCCCTGGATACGATCTATAGCACTGTAAAAGGAAGGAAAGGAGTAAGAAAAGAAGGAAAAAAGGGAGGGAGGGAGGAGGGAAAAACACTTTCATACTTTTATGGACATTTAGAAAAACAAGGACCTCAGTTAAACTAAAATTTCGAAACAACTTAAAAGAAACATTTGCTATGCAGATCCATGTTTATGGCATTACTTTACTTCCTCGAACTGACACTTCCACAGGATAATCTTTAGAATGCAAGGAATTGCAGAAGTTGTGTCGTCCAATATCACCATCTTTATAGATGAAGAAATCAAGGTCTGCTCTGGAAATTGATGGGGGCAGGGGGAGATGAAGCGCAGGAACCCAGAAGACGGGCCCTGGAAACTGGACGGGGGACTGGAGCTTCTGGGATGCAGGAGCCCTGGAGGTAAGTGGCTCTGTCAAGTGACTTGGACCACTGAAGGAAAAACTGCTTTCCACTGAGGAAAAGACAGTGTAGGAGTTGAGTCTGGAGGACGGATAATCTACCACAAAGACATTCTGGGCACAGACGCTGATTTAACTTGTAAGTCTGAGGTCATCTGGTGAGAGGTTCCTCTCCCTGGCGTGAGGGATGAGCCTGTCACACAAAGAGCAGACAGTCACTTGCGCAGTCCCTAAGTGGGTAGGAAGGCAACTCATTTTAAAGAACACAGAAGCAGACAGAAAGGCAGAGGCAGGTGTGAGAGTGACAGATAAGTCCCCCTTCCAGTCCTGTCAATCAGAACAGAAAAGAATCACCCCCTTAGACAGTCATTTGTTGCCCAACAAGCTCCTGATCCAAAACTGACCAAAAGGCCAGAGTCTGGCTTCTTGGTGCACAGTTTAAAATCTCCCCGTTCCTGTCTAGAGGGTGCTAAACTGGAGGCTGGGGAGAGAGAGAAACGGGATGCGCTGGCTACCTGCCGCTGGCCCCCATCACGAGATGCAGTCTTAGTCTGTCTGCCCCCAACGGGCTGACAGTGGGCGGCGCTCCCCGGGATGGCTGTCGGCTGGCTTACAATCAAGCTCAACCAATGGGAAGGCCTGGCTTCAGACGGGCAGCTGAGAAGAGAGGAAAGACAGATTTTCAATCCCGCCTGTAACTCCTGTCCGGTGGCCTCTCGTTAGTGGCTGCGACTCTCCAGAGTGTCTGCCACAGCATTTCCGCCCTGGCTCCTGCAGCCCAGGTGGCCAGCTCTCCTGGGGGAGTCTACACTCCTGGCCAGTTTCCTTTTCCCTCTGCATTCACTGCTGATGCACTGGGCTGGAGTCTGCTCGGGCCAGAACCCTGAGTGGACACGGAGACAGAGCAAGGGGATAAATACAGCACCTTACACGTACTTCCACTCACTGTGCAAAAGTTTACATTGATACCCAGGACGTGTTACATTAAACATGGAAAATCCACACGTACTTTTGAAATAAACGGATCTTCAGAAACACCCATCTTCAAATCCCCAAAGTTGCTGCCTCGGTTGTTCACTCTCTTTTGTTCCCTGGGGTCTTGGAGACGGGAAAGAAGACTTCACTAGGAGGAAGAGAGATGCCTCAGGCCTCGGTCCCTTGCTTTGTTTATGAAAGTAAATTGGGGTGAATTTCTAGCCTACCTCAAGGGTGTTGATCTGAGACAACAGCAACAAGATAAATTAGTGACAAGGAAGGGGAGGGAGTGGGAGTCTAGCCTCAAGAAGGGCCTGAGAAACTAGGAATGCTGAGCAGAGGCCCAGGGCCTAGAGGACCGAGAGAATTCCAAGATGGTAGCCCTGACCGGGAAGCTGCTCTCCCTCTGAGGCCATGGCATCTGGAGTCCAGTACTTCTGTTGCTTTCAAAATAAAGAGTCTTCAGGGAAAGGATTCGGTATACAGCCAGCTACTTTATTACTACAGAGGCAGAGAACTACGCAATACACATCAGCACATCTCCTGTAAAGTTTCATTTTAAAATCCCCCACATCAAAAGTGAAGTATGAATTTTAAAATAAAATTAAAACACAAGTTTATCTTCATCCCCGGCAATGTGGGATAAAGCAAGGGTTAATCATGATCGCTTGGCCAAAGCTCCCTAGAGCTGAACCCAGAAAAGGTGAGGCCTCAGCCTCTAAGAGATCGTGCATGAAATGAGGAGCTGCCGGGTTCCCGGGAGGGGACAGTGCAAAGTCACTGCGGGGAAGTCCAGCCGGCGAGGGCACCCCACCAGGCTCCCCTCCAAATATCCGCTGCGTCCAAATCTCTTGCCCCCTCCCCCCCGTATCCTCTCGCATATTCTGCCTCTGCTGTGCTTTCACTGAAAAGCGCATCCTGAAGCCGAAAAACATCCAAATACTATGAATCTAGAACAACTGAAGGTACACATGTGAGCTACTGCTCTGCGCAAGACTGCTTTGATCAGACTGACTGTTCCTAAGTGCATTTTCACTAGGACGCAGAAGGCCCAAGCAAAATTATTCCTGATCTTTTAATTTCAACGAAAAGATAACAATTACCAGAAACCATTAGACACTAGTAAGAACCAGACAGCTAATTTGCTTACCTGCTGTCGCCAGCATTTGCTACGTACAGCTTCCCCAAGAGGCAAACCACAATGAGGGCCGTGCAGCCGCCAGATATATTATACGAACTCCTCTCTCGTTCTATTTGTAGGTCCTGCAGAAGATAAGAAAGTCAGTGTTGGGTTGTGTGGAAACTTGTATCAAAGGCTTTGCCCTTATTCAACACAGTCCCACAAATCTGGACATGCTTTGAGAAGGGACAAGAAAATCCTCACTCCTTGTTCTCCTACCACCTGCTGAGGATTTCTGAAGAGGACAGGGCATAAAGCTGCCCTGGGATAGACCATCTGCAGACCAGGGACAGCAAACACACACAGTCAGACAAAACGAGAACGCAATGTAAACCATACTCAATACGTATTGTAGTGGATAGAAAACTTAGTCTTTGCATGGACTGCCCGAGTGCCATGTGGAAAACAGGATAGAGAACGTGTGGGTCCAAGTACTTGGAGCTGCTCAATCTTTTAAACTCCAGAGGCTTCAGTAAATAGTTCTTCTTACAGCTACATACAAGAGGTGACTTGAAGAATTGTCTTCTATTCAGGCAGGAGTCGATCCATGACTTGTAGATCAAACATCTATATTTCTAAACTCTGATCTGACTTTTGCTGCTCCAACAGCCACCAATTTACAATGGTGACACATTTATAGTGACAACAGCCAACACTCCCAGAGCACTTTCTCTGCACTGAGCACTGTGCCAGGCATATCGTTACAGAACCTCATTTCATCCTCAGGACCATCATTAACTTCAATGTTGAGATGCACAGAAGCAAGTAGATCCCCATTGCGTACAGACTGGATACAACCTGGTTTTCCTCCTCCAAAGACTGTTGTTCCCTGCCACGTAATAAAGCATCCCTAAGAAAATTAAAAACAGACCAACACTTCTATTGACAGATGTTCATCAACAAGGCAGATGCTTCCATGAAGCTGTGTTAGTGGCGAAAGCAAGGGTTCCGGCGTCCTCCGAAAAGTATGTGTTGAATCAGGAAAATGCACTGAACATCAAGCTGAAAGTTGTCCACTGTCATTGGGCAGAGGGAAGGGAAATAGGGTTTGGTAAAAACTACGGCAAGAGGAAGAAATGGCCCTGATTTCTGATGGTGCAGTTGGCAGATTGAGGGCTGGGGCACTTTTGTGTGTCTTGGAAACTCACAAGGTAAGGGCTGCTGAGTGAGGCTCCTTATAGAAGGGTGTGTGTGTGTGTCGGGGGTAGTTTCCAGCAAACCAACATTTTGCTAGCAACCGCTCTGATGCAGGCACCAGAAATACGAAGACAGACAAATTGCTAGTGGGAAACTGCAAGCAGAAGACTCTTGACTGAAGATACAGCAGCGGATTGCGGCAGTACGCTGGCTAAAGAATAAGTAGAGGAAACATATAAAAAGCAGACCAAGGAGCAACTAACACATGGGACTGGAGCGGCTAAGTCCAGGGAGTCGTGGGGATGTACGCATGTGGGATAGGGCAGTTCAAGGGCAAACAAGGAGGAACTTCCATAAAGGGGAAGACAGCAGCGTCCAAGGCTGTAAAAGGGTCAAGCATGAGGACCATGTTCACAGGACTACGCTAGATGTTCCACACTTAGATTCCATATAAACTGGCTCTCGTATAGGACTGTTAGATTAGATTAGCTGGCCTGTGTGGGGTTTTGACAGCTGTATAGTTTCTTCCCACATCCTGGAGAGCTCATGACCGAGAGCAGTGGCTTTCCTTGCTCATGTAGAACCTTAACACCCACACTGGGCCAAGTAAATGGGAGTTTAAGAAATGTGCATTAAATAGACAAGTAAAGAAATACAGTAAAACATGCTAGGGCTTCCTAAATATCTCACTACCACCTTGCTTCTGCTTTTTTTTTTTTTTTTAATGAGAAATCTAGTCCATAAGCCACAAATTAAATGCTTATCATGCAAATGCTCACCAAGGTAATAATTACACAGGAACCCTTGCTTCAGTTAAACGCAGTCCATGGACAGGAATGAAGGAATGGTTATCAGATCCTATGCAACGACGCTGGAAGCTGGAGGGTTACGGGAAGGAGGGGTATGGATGAAAAAGTCAAGGCACCACGTTTTTGTTTGTATGTTTTAAAATATACAAACGAAACCAACAACCCTACCTGTAAACTCCCTTATGAGTATACCTGTTAAATTTTTTATTTAAATAACTCATAAAGCTGACATTATGATACATGTATTTTTCATGTATAATCAATATATAAAATGGTATAACCAAGTCCTCATCCAAAATTACTATTTTTTAGTGGACAGGAAGGAACTTCTATAACCAAAAAAATAATCCCTTCACAGTCAGAATCAGTATTTGTTTGAACAGCTCTAAAATCGAAATGAAAGACAATTTTTATTAAACATTCTTTGAGTACCCAACTGCTTGCATGCTGTACAGGCAATGGAATGTGGATGATGTTTGTAGGGCTTAAGAGAATTATTAGTACAATCCAAAAGGGAAAAAATCTGACAGCATACGAAGTCCATGTAAAAATGCAGTTCATGGCAAAGAATTCCCCTGGGGCTCAGGCAAACATATTTACTCTGCAGTGCAGGTGAAGGTATTATTTATCATGGTTTCTATCACAAGATAATCTAATTTTAGAAGTATTTAGTCATCAGGGAGAAAAATCAAGCTAGAATGGGCAACATCAAGATACTCTGCTAGGAGAGAGTTCATATTTGCCTTTAAGGCCGGGGGATATGTTCCAGTCAGTTTACTCGGCGAATCCCTTACAATTATATTAACAGCGTGGTTCAATGTTTTCTTCTAATTGATTTCATTGTTTCTTTCATCTTTTTCTACATTCCCTCTGTAGTTCCCTCTGAGTGAGAAATGCTAAACTTGGCAGCATTTTCTCATAAAAAGGACTAAAGTGTAACTCCTTTTTATGCAGGAAACTTAGCTAACATGTGCACGCTTCATTGTCTCCCACGTTCATGAGGGAAGATACTTGTGCACACACATGTACGTACGAACGACAAGCATGCATCTGCAGTCATGGTGCAGTCATAACAGTTCGAAAGATGGGTTTCTGCAGACTTCATCTCCTGAAAGATGCACTGACATTAAAACACACTCTTCTATTTCTTCTAAAACTGTGTGCAACTAGAACAGCTTCTAAAAATAATCGCCTCCCTCCTCTCCTCCCTAGAAGCCAAAATAGCACATTTATTTTTTCCTACATACACCACCTACTCCTCTGTAAAGGGTGTTTCATGAAGTCTTAGTACTGAAAGGAACATTAAAAGAACCATCTGGGTGGTTCTTTTACTATCAGATTAAACATGATAAATGAAGTCAATAAAGATACATTCACCATTGAATTTACTGCCTTTTACCCTAGGCTCTCAGTCTTTCAAATTAGCTTAAGCTTTTTACATGTTAGGTACAAAATAAAAATGCATACGCATTTTTTAAAAACCCTTAAGTTTCTGTATATATATATTTTTTCACAAATCAGTGAAGCCATGAGAAAAACTGCCTACTGCTTTGTGTTAAGCACCAACTTATTTGGAATATTTCCCTATTTTAGCTGCCAATGGACTCCAAGACACGTCTAGAATAACTTACTAGCAAAACACATCCACATAGTGTCATTGCTTTCAAGGTTTAAGGCTCACTTAGACGCAGAAGATTCAATTAACACGATGAATAATTTATCTGCTCAATTATGGGTCCTGCTACATCTCATGGAAACTTTCTACTTATTAGTAGGTCTAACTTACTGTATTCTGCGCTGTGCCTGCATAAATATTATATTTACACTAGAATTAGCTCTAAATCAGAGAATAGATCCAATTTGTTAAGATTTGAGATTTTTTTGGTGCTCCTTTTTGTTGCAAGGGAAGAAGGAAAGCAGAAAAGCAACAAGATATGTGTGAAATGAGACCGATTCAGCTGGGAAGAATGACAAGGGAAAAAATTATATTGTCCACAATGCTTGTAATTTGGTCTGAGCGTCTCATAGATGATGCAATTCCAGGGTCGGTCTTTGCTCCCTACCAATTTTCAGCTTGCAAAAGGACAGCAACAGCAGTCCGCAGAAGGACCCAAGAGTTGGGTGGTTTCAATAGGACCTGGCAGCTCTCCCTAGCCGGGGTAAAATATGGTTCTGAGCACATTGCTAATAGGGTCAGTCACAAGTAATAAGATTCTGCATGATTCTAAGACCGAGGTCTCATCCTGGTTTATTCTGAGAACAAGGTCATCTACCATCCAGACAATGAAGAAAGCCGGGGGGGGGGCGGAGGGGAACAAACAATAACAACAACAACAAAACACACGCAAAAACCCCAACACAAAACCACACACACAACCAGTACTGCCTAGCACTGCCACCTGCTGGCTGCTATGGAACTGCATGCTCATGCCTTCGCGAAGGAACTTCCAGTTCTAACAAAATCCAAAGACAAAATAAAACGCTAGTTTAAACAAAGGCAGATCCAAGTTCCCAATTTACTAGCTTAAATACAGGCAGATCCAAGTTTCCAATTTACCACTAATATGCTAGAAGTTTTTAAGGTCAAGATTTATAAGCTGCAAATAACCTTTGCTTTCATTCTCTCCCTTTTCCTCGCACTGTGGCTATATGGTTTTTCCCGAGAAAGCCAAGTTGCTTGGTATTCACAGCCATTTACGAAAGATTATTTACGGAAGATGTATGGGAGATTTACAAGTTAAAATATTGCCATTTTTTCCCTTTCTAATAACCAAACTTCTAGAACATTCTTCCATGGCAGGGAATCTACACTCTCACTGAAAAAGAAATAGGCCAGAATTATATCTTCCTGTCTATATCCAGAATTCAAGCCCAGAAGGTGATAGGCCAAAAGGCTAATCACTGTTGATTTGGTTCTTATTCCTAGGAAGGCAAAGGCCTCTGTCATGACCCTGGCCCTGGAACTGACTTCCTCTGTGAATCAGAAATACTGTCTATTTAACCATTTGTTTGAGAAGGTGGGGAAGTGGGCAGATTTGAAACTAGAACTCAGAAGGATTGAGCTTGTTCATATTGGTTGCTCGGGCTCAAGGAACAGCTTCAACATAACAGGTGACAAAAGTAGCTGCTAAGCCAGA